ATCATTGTGGGAAAATTCTACTACCAGTCCTTCATCACCTTACACGAAATAGAGTGAATACATCTCATAACACACATTTGGTCAAAGGATCGGCCTCATTTATCTCTAAAGAGTTGTACTATGGTGCTAAGAATGGCAAGACTCACTGACGATGCCGACTACGATGCCCGTCCACGGTCCTACTCTGGAAATGATGATGCATACAAAGGACTCCAGATTAGGTGCCTTCCTCAAAGTCTTCCTACCAATATGACCGAGTTGTGAAAAAAAGGTCAAACAAACTCTATACAACGGAATGAGACTGCGACTTCACAAAAGGCGACACCATCTCGGTCTTCATATCTTCGAAACTAATTATAATCGTCTATTGCTATGGCAAACGTAGATTTACTTTATCAACTGTCCCACTCTAAAATAGGAGGCCTGGTTTGACTTGAATATCGCACTCGCCTTGTGGTTCACTAACGCCCATGGTCATTTTTACGAATGGTAACCTGTCTTAAATCACTTCAAGAAATATGGCGTGACTAAGAACTTATTCAAGAATAATTTCTATTATCATAACCTACTTATATAAAAAAGCCACTTACTTGTTTTTCGGACGGAATGCTTGTTTTTAAAAAAATAAAATTATCCCTTTCCTTTTGAACTAAGAGAAAATGATTTATTAAATGCGTGTATATTCTCTGTCTACTTAGGCGCCCTCATGGGGCTACAGACTGCTGAAACTACGTTGGGCAATGCTTCCCTGATCGACTATCTCACATCCTCACTGACGGACTACCAATGCGAAACCGGTGGCCAAGAAGAGGCGCCCTACCTAGTACAGGTGATGAGGCTGATTCTCATCCCAGTCTGGTCCGGCATTTGTGCCTTCGGTGTGCTCGGCAACTGTTTCACAGTGGTGGTGCTTCGGGCTAGGCACCTTCGACAATCGAGCACCTCTCTCTACTTAACCGCACTGGCCTTTGTAGATTTGGCCTATTTGTGCTTTAGTCTGTTCGCTAGCCTTGGCAGCTTGGCTTTTTGGTTTCCGTCAGAACTGCGTCGGCAACATGCCGTCTTCTGTCTGCTGCAAACCTTTCTCAGCTACACACTTGCTTTTCTGAGCGTCTGGCTACTCGTCTTGGTCACCGTTGATCGGGCGTTTTGGGTGTTAATGCCCTTCATGGCATATCGTATCTGCACTCGTTGGCATGCCAGAGTTGCCATAATCTGTTTATCTCTCGGACTTGTCGGACTAGACCTTCATCTCTTCTGGACAATGTCATTTCAAGTCGTCCTCAAGCCAACTGGCAACCAAACCGATCTGATGAGTAATGTTGGCCGAGCGCATTGTAAGTGTGTAGTCGTTAGTCGGTTCACGAGTGAAGTATTTCCATACATAGATCTTCTCTTGATTGCCATTCTACCATGCATCACTATGACTACGGCTAATATTCTAATTGGTCTGAAGCTGCGTCGGCAGGCGCATTTTCGTGGAAAGACGCAAGCAGGAGGTGAACGTCTGCTCGAAAAGATGTCATTAGGTTCGTCTACGCATGCCCAGAATTGGCTGGAACCGACTGGGCCAAGTAGTAACGGGCCTAGGGGCGAGAAGTCGGCATGGCTGACCAAGATGCTCATCTCAACCAACGTGTTTTTCATGGTTTCTGTCAGTCCACTTTTAGTCTATGACATTCTCTACATCACAGAAGATTTGGTTCGCTGGGTGGAGCGCGATGAAGCCTACTGGGGTCCAGTCATGTTCGGCCTCGAAAAGTTGGTTTACACTCTGTGGTATACCAACTTCGCCATTCACTTCCTTCTCTATTGCCTTAGTGGCGCCAAGTTTCGTGATGAAGTATTGCGTCTACTACGATCTGGATGGACTCAACTCACTTTTGTCTGCTGTGGACAACTGTCAGATAAACAAAATAATGTACGTACTCATGTAGCAACCGTCGGAAATATTGAAACATTAAATCCTGAAGAGACGGGGCAAGAGAAGCACGCAAGCCAAAGATTTCAATTACGCAGCTTCTATCGAGATAACTTTAAGCGTACAAAACCAAAGAAGTGATCTCAGGTCCTAAGCTTTAGCAATCCACTATATATATATAACCATGCCATTAATAATCAAACTTTCATTTGTGCTGAAGAATATTGTATAATGATGCTAGCAGAATATATTTTTATAATAACTCAAATGGTGCAACCTCGATTTTTACAGTTTTCACATTTAAAAAATGCATATTCGAACATGGCTCTATTCATGCTCAAATCCACGAATATGTGTTTTCTGAGATATTTCAACCGAGATCGCTGGACTGGAAACAGCAATCGTCTGGTGTACAAAATGTAAAGGGATATATTTCAACAATTTAACAGATCGTCAAAAAGAGAGGATTGAGTCTTTTGGCATCAGTGGAAAGTGATCTTTCCTAAAAATTGATTGCATGTCAGTTATACATCACTTCAGTCATTCTGTTTGCTTTCAGCCTATAACTCTACGTATAAACTCTTCATGACAGAGAAGAACGAATTAATCTAAGTGAGTTTGCTCCTTCTGTACCTTCAGCTGTGTCACAGAAACAAACGGATTGATCATTTTTATGAGTTTCCTTGTTAGGAATTGATTAATATTAGATGGGATATCAAAGCCTCTGAGAAGCAACAGTTCAGCACTTCTCATAAAACAACTAAATCCCAAAATTCCTAATTTTTCAAAACAAATGGAAACAGCCCAACGTTATTTAATAATTCTATTATATGAGCATTCAAGCTTCATCGGCTTAGCCTAAAAGGTAACTATATTTAAGAAATTAGGGGGTCTCTGCGAGTATGGAATGAAGAAAATTAACGTTGTACAAAGCAGATGAGTGATTGGAAAAGTGTTACCAGAGTCTTTTCGCCAGAGAGCTTACGTATACTAACACAGAAAATGAGGATTGTTTTATGCATTACATTGATATAGATCTTTGAGATGGTGTCATTTAGAATACGAGAGACCATTTAAAGGGTTCTTCTACAAAGTGCTGTTTATGATGTGGTAGAAATATGTAAGAGGATGTAAACACGATGTCAATTAACATTTACGACTACTACTCTAATTTTATTGATGCTGAAGCTGACATTTTTGAAAAAATTTTGGGAGTACAGGACAGAAAATATTATGAAAAATTCTTGAACTATGAATTATTATCAAACTCAATTGTCAGGTTTTTGTAAATTTCATAAGTTCTCATAGTATCTGTGCACCTAGAAAGTGTTGAATAGATGGACTTGGTTATCATAACAGCCATCGTGGATCTCATCAGCATATTATGTTATATTTGGATTTATAGCTGATTATAAATTATTCCTAAATTTAAAGAACTTTACTTTCGTGAGTTAAGAAAAATAGCGTCTTTTGAAGCGAATTAAGTTAAACTTGACCTTTAAAGACGTTAAATATATACATATAAATAAGTGCTTATTTATTTCTGTTTCAAACTAGGAAAATATGCCATTTCATAGCTGGTTTTAATTTTACAACTGAGTGTGTGTTTCCTAACTCTCTGAAAGGCCAGCTAGGGTAGGCAAAAGGCTCTGGATCACTTGTCAGAAAAAGAGGCTTAATGCTATAAAGAGTAACAAGAGATTGTAGTTCATGCAAGTTATTTCTCTTAGGACTATATGTTACTTTAGTAAAGAGTTTTCCTAACAGGGTAAATTGTTTAGCATAAAATGATTGCATCCCAATAATTATGTAATACTACGCAAGGCAAGTCGACTCTAAGCTATGGTGGGGATATATGTATAAGGCAACTTCTTCTAGAAGCATAAAAGTTGATTCCTAAAATGGATTTGGAAAAAGATAGCAACAATATTTCCGGATCTATAGTGCTCCTGGTAGTTTATATTCAAGTTCAGTCTACCCTCTATTTGTAAAAGTGGCCCAAATTAAATTAGCTTGAACTTTTAGAAGAAAGGGCTTCACCTTGCTATGCTTAAATTCGATTCTACCGAGGCGTTCGAACTGACGTCATCCCCTAAGACACAACTTGTTTGGTCTCAATGGAAGGATGCTAAGCGTTTTTATGTCAAGTCGCTTGACGAACATTATCCCAGCTCAAATTTATCTCTATAAGTGGTTCAGGTCTACAACGAGTTGTATTAAATCGTTGCTATTCTTAGCATTATCTTTTAAGCTTAAAGGCCTTCAAAGAATGTTTTTCAGCTCTGTCGATGCCCACCAAAAGAAAGGACGGCAAAGAACTCAGCAGATTTTTACTAGAATTAAGGGATACTGTCTTAACTCCTGATTAAAGTCAAACTTTAGCAAACTTCGATAAATCTGCCAGCGTCTTTTAGCAATTTCGAAAGACCCAGTTCTTGATAATGCACTGCCAGACTAAGTTTAAGTCTTTGCAACAATGGTACATCAGGAGGTTACTGGAGGATCATTTATTATATTTATCACATCTAGACACATTCAACGATGAGCTTATCAATGTCGAATGCATCCGGGTCTTAAGAAATAAGCTAGCTCGTTACTACCAACAAAGAATTTGATATTTTTTGACAAAATTTCATACTGGATAGTGGCTATCAAGAATGTTTCACTCATCAGTATGGCAAATTCGCCTTAACGAATGAGAGCGTTGAGCTTTAGGACTGAGTTGACTAGTTCGAGTACCTCAGAAATCAGTGAAAGATAACTCCGTAATCAGGACCTAAGCAGGCTTGCTGATAGCAAATCTACAGGAAGATTAGATTTTCCCTTCCAAAAGTGTCTTTAAACGGCATTCTCAGTCCAGACTAATTAAACAACCAGTTCTGCTTCAATTTATGTAATCTAAACTAAATGCAGTTTTTATTCAAGATTTAATGATAGTCAATAAACCGACTGATATCGAATATAAAAATATTGTTCCCGTAGCACTCAAAACGCGATTGAAAATAGTGAAACAAAACTGTCTATTTCACTTTTGACGCTTATTATAAACATACCTCTTAGCCATACGCGTTTCCAAATGGAGAAACACGATGGAAGCAATAAGGTGACATGACAAAGGTTTCCCTCTAATCAAGTAAAATCATTGTTTTATCAAAAATAAAATCAGGCTTCTTATATAAATAGGTCGTTAAATACACCATTCCTAATGCTGATATTTAGTAAATACCGTATTCAATTTCACATGAACCTTAACAAAACCATGCACAATTATAAGGTTACGGTTTCTTGCAGGACACTACCTGAGCTTGAACACAAAAAGGCAGTTCGACTTTAAACTCACTCAAGACTTGATAAGGGTCAAAAACCTATTAGTAACACTTAATATAGTGTAAGAGATTCTAAGGTCGGTTCCATCTGAAGGCGACGGTGGATTCCTCTTGACCAGCTGTCGATTGGCTTTAATGGCAGATTTATGCTGACGCTGTTTCCGAGGTAATCTTCTTCGATTTCGGTGAAAAGGTGATACGCTTTCGTTCGTCATATGACGGACATCATCAGAACAAGGTATCATCGTCACAACTCAAATCAAGCTAATGAGTCAAGAAAACTAACGAGTAAATCCCTTAAAATTGGTATATATACTCTACCTCTGGCCTCTTTGATCAAGTATAAAGTAATTTGGTGAGTC